TAACTTTTAACTTTTTTATTTAAAAACCAATAAAGTTAATATGTTTAAATTAAAAAAAAATGTAAAGTTAATATTGTTATTTACACATTTTTTTCTGCTAGAATACATGTCATTTTGATTAGTTCTTTGAGGTGTTTTTATTAAAAACATATAATTTTTGGGTATTTGTTTAATCTCATATGAGTAGAAATCCTTTTGTACATAAATTTTATATACTACATTTATACAAAACCGTAATAATTTACCTCTTCATTTTCAATAGTTGAGATTTATTCACTTATTTATCATATTTATTAAAGATAATTTATCTTTTTTATCTAAAAAGTCATAATAAATCTCAACCATTGAAAATTGAGAGATAAATAATCAAAATTTTGTGTAAACATAATGTGTAAGATTTATGTGTAAATATATCTCTACCTTATAGTCTCAATTTCTTATGATGCCAATCTAAAAACACCTTCTTCCAATGAATACTTTTAAAAAGCAACTATTAGATTTAATTTTTTTTTTCACATCAATAATGCATATCAACTTTCAAACTAATTGAATATATCTTATTAGTTTATTGATTATATAAAAATTTAACACTATTAAATAAATGTTAAAAAATATAGTTTATTGATGGAATGATTTTAATGTTAGATCAATTTAAAAATTGACATAAAAGATCTATATAATCATCATTCAACCAATATTTTTAAAAATCAATCTTTAGATCAAATGATCTATTTAAGTAGATCTTTAATAAGTATAAAAACATTAATGTTTAAAATAGCAAAATTCATTCTTACAAAAATAGAAGAGCAAAATTCATAATAGGTCTTTCTATGTAGAAGATAATGTTTGTCAATCCCGACTATCAAAAAAATTAGAATTGTAACCTTAAACGATATCTTTTTCATTTAATTAAAACTCAATTCGAAACTCATAAATCCACCTTATTAAATGTTGACACTTACATTTGGAAATCAAAAATCTAATTCAAAATTCAAAAATTTATCTTATTAAATGTTTATATAAGCATTTGAAATCAATTATATTAAAATATATAATTAGTTTTAAAATGTAAGTATCAACATTTAATAGAGTAGATTTTTTTAATTTTTAATTGAATTTTAATTAAATAAAATGACATAAGTTGAGACTTTAATTTCCTTTTAGGAGTCGAGAACTAATATACATTTTTATCTCGTATGTAAAACATTTTTTATTTAATTTTGAAGAGAAAAAAACTTAATTGAAACAAAATAAAGTATTGAGAACTAATATTTACTTAAAAGACCAAATAATGTAAAGGTTAAATCCCAATTTGGTCCCTTAACTATTTTAAAGGCCTCTATAAAGTGGTCCTTAAACTAAAAAAAATCTCTAACCCAATTAGCTAAAAAAAT